TAAAAGTGTATTAGTAAATTTCAGTAGCTTTGAAGCCTATCGGCGAGTTGAAAGGTGCTGTTAGACACAACTAATCTCAAAACTCTCCCTCCGTGTCTCAAGTGCACGACCTTTCAAAAATTTTCGAGGCGAAGATCCCCCATCCATGAACTATTATTAAGTACCAAGTAATCGTAAATTGGTTCACCCAATTGCATCGTCAAATTAGTGCTAATTTTATTCACACCGCCGTCAACCAAAAATCCCATGAAAGAACCTCTAAGACGCTCTTATCCCAACTGATCCTTCATTCTTTTCCTGATGTTTAGCCAATTTAATCTTGTTGCGAAAACTTTGGCGCACCTCGTTAGAGTAGTTGGTGCGGTCAGCTCAACTGGGCGAAATTTAATTTGTCATCATAAAACGGGTGGAGAACATTTAAGAAAACACTTTCAATTCTATGCTTTAGCGGTTAAGTCGTGATTAAAAGGAATGGTGAACATATAACATTCCATATCGTTTCAAAGCTAGGAGGTTCCATATCTGAATAACGTTTCGGAACATTCAACCCTGCTCAATTTCTTTCATTAAAGCTTTATGCAACCAGGTGCTGATGCAATGCAAAAGGAGTTGAAAAATTTTAGCCTTCGTGTTCTGAAGACTTAAATAGCTTGCTCTCTGCCAAATGTTATGTTGCTAATTCATCCGAGACGTTCTTTTTAGCTTAAACTTAGAGGAAAACTTGAATGAAAAGACGGAGCTACGGCACCAGATTACCGTTTCGAAGAAAATTGCCAATAGTGCCCATAAGAACGAGGCGGCTCAAACGTTTCATTGAAGTAAAAACTGCAAGGAAGTAAGTCACCAATGCAGGAGTAGTAGCACCTTGGTTTTGCACCAGAACACTGCCTGATTTGAGGTGCAGAAAGGTTTGCGAGACAGGAGACCGGGTTAAGCCGCGTGGCAGACGTCCCGTGGCGGAGGCTCAGACCTGTACTTTCCCCTGACCTTATTTTAACAAAGGTAAAATTCTCTAAAATTTTTTTTTGTATAAAGTCCCATTCTTTTACTCGCAACCTGCTCATTTGTGGGAAAATGTCTCATTCCAATTGTTAGGTTTCGGAGTATGAAATTCTCTGCCATTCACCGTGATAGGTTGATTGCTTAATTGGGTACATTGCAATTACATTACACTACAATTTCACCCAAACCAGTCTTGGTACTTTTAAAATCTCCTTGAAGTGATCTTCGGATGTACTACTAAATGGTTGAACTGATGACATTTTTATTAAAACACGTTTTTGACTTTGAAAACGTTATGTCGTGCCATAAAGGCGACATCCAAAATGTAGAGTATGTTACAAGCCTTGCAAATCGAAGCTCTTTTACTCGTTTTGGCAGTGTGTATATCCCTTGTGGCTACATATTTTCTTGATGAAGACCGTTGGGGAAAGATATGCGCCACTTGAGCAGAACTTGAAAGGGTCTTCCGACCAGCCGATCGAAGCTAAGGCGATAGACGCTTCGTCAATTGCTTGCTTCACACAATCAGTTACCCCTCTGCTGCACCAAATGCGATTCACTAAGCATGAATAGGTTCTGCAGAATACCTCTTTGACATGCAACATGTCATTTGAGTCCCACAAGCCTTGACTCGTCGGCATCAGAATTTGGCGCCAAGGTCATGCCTAGTCTGCCCTGACTTCCAGAGTTTGCATGGTCCGGCCTGGGATAACCTCTCTGCTACCTTCAATTCACTAGTCTTAAAGTAAACGCTGTGCCAATGCAATGTGCTCGATCAAATATGCTTTCGAACAAAGTCATAACATTGGGTTAGGAAAACTCAGAGACCCATTAGCATAATTTAAATATTCTTAGTCTGAACTGTTGACACTGCTGATGTCTCGATTTATTTCGTCGCTCATGTTCATTTTGACCAAAAGACGTTTGTGCTCTATAAATTGACCGTTTTATCGGCCAGCAAATTTGAAGCATTCTTTCCCTGTGCTTGGTATGCTCGCAGAAGCTGGCGTGGAACATGCATTGAAAAGCCCATTACTCTCATCAACATTTTGAGGTGGTCAAGAAGTTTATTGCTTGCTTTGCTTCTGTCCCTTTGCATACACCCCATTGTTCGCCGTGAGGAGGTCAAAGCGTTAGGCTGAGAAAGAATTTGCGTTAGTTCTTACGATGGCGAACATTTTGTATTTTAAGTCGTTTTCTTCCAGTGTTTAGTACTGTTAGCCCATTAGCATGAAGCAGAGAGCCTTATTATGCGCAGAGTTCACAAAATGTAAAGTTAATCAAAGATAATTAACTTATGACAAAGCCAAGGTGAATTTCACTCCGCTTTTCTGTTATGTACGTGGTTGACAAGTGAGAGCACCTTTTTTGAGAGAAGTGTGATCACTTTACATTTCTAAATGCTTTTTACTCCGGCTCTGAGAAAGCACACTTATTATTGACGATTGGAGCCGTTCACTAATCATTCCAACAAGCTGATTTTGTGGTTTTGCTTATTTCTGCATTTATCTGGCACATGTGTAAACAGTAAGTCTTTTTAGCTTTACATATACTTAAGATTAGTAAAGTTTTAATATAAAAGGGTCAGTTTACGCACGGCACTTGCAATGGAAACTAAAAGTAGGGCCTGATATCTAGTAGAGTGGAAAGATTTCCATAATATTCGTTATTTCCTTCAGGCATTGATTTGAGGCTGATAATCGTTGGGGTGGTGCTTTATGGTCCGAACTGTGACTCCTTGGAACCTTTGGATGCTCCACCTTAGAACCAGATAACCGAACTAACGGTTGTGGTTATTAATGCCATCACCAAAAAGCCCATATAACCCCATTTATACTTAAAACTTAAACGTAGGTGTTCAAAATTACTTAAGCTTGAAGAAGAGTGACATCACCTTTGCTTTAACTATCTTCAGAGTCCAGAACTCCCAGCATAAAGGCGAAAAATTTTGTCGCGCCGTTGCAATGCATGTTGAGTGCTTAAAACGTCCATTGCAAGTCGGGAGCCATTCTGGAAGACCGTAGAGACAAACAACAGAGACCACAGTGTTGGACTTGTACTCCCTTTCGCCACCTTGTCCGACTTATCAACTCTTAACTTAGCGATATACAAAAGTACTGTCCTTTCGAATGAGCGCCAGCTTGGCAAACACCTTACAACAGTAATCAATGCCAGAAAAGGGAGACACTCAGGTACCCAGAATCTTGCTGATGAAGTCGTATGCAAGGGCTCAAGTAATGACAGAGACCCTTTGAATTCGTCATACAGGCCAAGATTGCATGTAAAAGTCAGCCTTTGCTGGAAAATCAAGTGTTCTTAAAGGGAAGGTCCGCAGACGCTGACACCAATGTGGCCAGTATATGCTTCGCCTCCCAATAAGTAAGAAGTGTGTAGGAGGCAAGTATCACGTCCTCATTGCAGACTACTCTAGCACGGCGTTTGAATTGTTTCGACTCCGCTTTCCTGCAAAGCACAATTTAAGCAGGAAATATTTTGCAATCTTCTTGAGAAGTGCCCAGGGAAAGGGTCCAGAACCGGAAAAGTGGAATCTTGAAAAGTCATTCTGCCAAATATTTAAAGTACACAATGTGCTGCTGCAGCTGATAATAATGCTGTTTTAATTTTATAACTTTTATGAAAATGCACACTGCAGAAATCACAGATTCTCTTATCATTTTATACCGCCTGCTATCATAAGGTACCATAAAAGATGTGGATTTTAAAACTTTCTCGCCGAGATTTAAAAATTAGGTATATAATCTTTGAGTTTCGGTAAATAGCACTTTTGTGGGCCTTTGGGTATATCTTAAATCTCAAAAATAATTAAAGCAAAAATATCACAAATACGAAAGAACTAGGATGCTAATTTGAGTTTGTACAATCTGTCTCTATTTCCTTTAAAATGTCGTTTATATGCATCGGACTGTCCAAAATTCAACAACTGACTATTTTGTACTCGAATGAGTTTTCATCCGGATGCCTGGGTCAGGTGTGTCTGGCATTTCAGCCGTTGTTTTCTAATGCTAATATGTCAGATGGGAATTTTAGTGTTCATTCGGATGTTAAGGTCCGGTTGCGAGTTATATTATTCGTTGGTTCCCATTGTTTTTCCATAGTTGTCTTGCGCACTCCGCTACCATTTGCACGAAACTTAATGTTTTTACTTGAGCCAACTTATCTGTTCCCCTTGTCTGATATAATGTTTGGTTATAAACAGTCGCAAACTGCAACTGAAAATGCAACATCTATTAGTCAGTTATTTTGGTTACTGCTTTAGTAGCAAAGGAAGTGATCTCTGACAAGCTGCTTATTGATTGGCGGGCTTTTGGTCTAAGTTTGAGTCCTCTTATTGTAGGAGAGTCAGGGACTATTACAATCGCAATCCGCGTTCGGCCATTTTCACAAAAGTTTGTTCTGCGTCTCACTTATTGCTCATTAAAGGGAGATCGATTCGAAGGACAACTATTCTGTGATTGACTGCCCTGAATTCGGTAAAATAAGGTGCTCGAAAAAAGGTCTACTCCCAACGATATTTTCTTTCGATCACACATTTTGTCACTTTGATGAGGATGTAATCAGAACTGGGAGGGATAGTCAGCAGGAGATATACGAGGCTTTGGGACTGCCTTTACTAAACAAGGTCCTTGCTGGCTACAATGCATGCTTGCTTGCCTATGGCGTTACGACCTCAGGGAAAACGTATAGGTAAATCTCAGTATCTCGCTAAGCCCATTTAGCATGTATGGAACGGCTGATGAGCCTGGAATCATTCCACGAATTGCAGAAGATTTATTTGCTCGCATTGATGCCGGAAGGGTTTGTCTTTAGTAAATTCCTACTATTTTAGGGGGGGAACGTTTCGACAACGGTTCATTTCACCTACTACGAAATCTATAACGAAAAAATCAATGATCTTTTGCAGAATAGAAGGACCCCGCCCCAAGTGAGACCTTTTTAGTTTTCATTCGTGTTAGTGAAGTGCGCATGGTCAATTTGTTTCTGTTTCTTGTTTGTACTTGTTAATCTCTTTGCCACAGTTGACTGTTCGCGAACATCCGGTGACGGGGCCCTTTGTGGAAGGCCTCATTCAACCTCTGATTCACTCCTCAGAAGAAATGTTCTCCTGGCTTCGACAAGGCGATGCTCGTCGTAGTGTAGCATCAACTGAAATGAATGCTCGCAGCTCTCGGTCGCATACTGTTGCCTGTTTCATCATTCGACGTGAATTGGTTAGACGCATTTCGCCCTTTGATACGCTAAATCTCACTGCCATCTTAAGCTTGTTTTTATTTTCATGTTTGACACCTTGTGTGCTGCCAAGATCTATCAGTATCTTCCATGTTTCCGTGATTTCCGTAGTGTTTCACGCCATGAGTGCTACCTTTTGATTTTTGATGGTTTAGTATTTTAGCGATTTGCAGTCCAACTGCGTCCCAGTTTGACCAACCAATCTCATCTTTCAGAGGATCGAAGTTATGTTTCAGCTACTTAATTGTCATTCCTTTCATTCGCATATTTTTTTATTGATTTTAGGTGAAACTTACGGAGGAGGGCACTATAGAGAAGGTTTACACAAGCAAGCTGACCTTAGTCGATTTGGCAGGCAGCGAACGTCAGTCCTCCGCTAACGGTATGAGCGAACGATTGATGGTAAGGATTTTTTCAACTGTATATGTTGTTACTAATTATTCTAAGGAGACGTGCCAGATAAACAAGTCCCTATTCGTTCTGGGAAGGGTCATATCCCAGCTGAGTGGTGACACGCAATCGAAAATTTTTCGCTCAACCGAACGTCTAGAGCGTAAGCGGCCCAAGTTGGAGTTTGAAGAGTCCTCCCAGCTTCTTACGCCTCAAACATTGGCGAAACACAAAGCAAATGCATTCGTGTCCTATCGCGACTCCCTACTTACTTGGTATGCTGCTAGTTTTTGCCCCTTCCTTGCATTCCTCTACCTTGGTTCTACTATTCTGTGTTTGTTTTATGCTCGCATAACTTCAGTTAGCCTATTACTTAAAGGATACTAAAGGACAGTCTTGGTGGCAATTCGGTCACAACTATGCTTGCGACGGTGTCCCCATCTTCGCTCCACGTTGACGATACTCTTTCAACTTTGCGCTATGCTAAGCGCGCCCAGTGCATCATCAACAAGGCTGTGGTCAATGAAGACATTGAAAGACGTATTATTCGAGGTTCGTTATTCTAGTCATTTGTGCTCCCACATTTTCGATGTTCATGTGACTATCAATTGATAGGACTTAGTACTAAAGATGAGGTTTGACAAGCACCTTCGAATTGCCATTTTTTTCGAAAGACAGAATAAGTGCAAGCAATTCATTTTGGTGTGACTTTCTGGCCAGTTTTTGGAATTAGTGCAGTATTGCCTTGGCTCTCTACCTTCACAGAACTGATGTTGGAAGTTGAAAAACTCCGGAGACGTCTCAATGAATCTAAACAGCCTAACAGTCCTCCGACTTGTCAAGTTCGCGCTCTCAAACGTTTGCTCCCGTCGAGAGAGGAGGAGGTCGCTCATCTTACTGAGTAATTCTTGTGATTGTGGATTTTTTACCCTAAGACAACGCTTTCATCGTTGTTCTAACTCTGTAGTGAATTGACCAAGCGTACTACGGTCTGCGCACGACTTCAGCCTTCGTTGGTTCCTTTATCCTCTGTGGATGCTACACCTCAGTGCCTTCATGCTTATGCTCTCAACACAAATGAATCATGGTACATTCTTCAAGGGTTCAGTATCCTTCTGAAGTGGATATTAATTTGTTCATGTAGCATTCTTTTATTACGCTTTTAGCGGTGTACCAATGAGGCATATAAAATCTAATCTGTGTCCTGATCGTCGTGTAGCACCCGATGGTGCAGAAAAAAGTGAATTTGACATACAAGCAGGCCGTTCTCACTGCGAGGGCAACTTTAATTCGCCTAAAAATCTAACTAAAGAGCTCCTCGCCGCTGTCAACGAAACCGTTGGTCCGAGTGAGATTACACTGAAGAAAGACGCGTCCACTAATACGAAAGAGGGCATGGTTGTTATTCCTCTAACCAATCTAGACAAAATGCATTCCGATTTGCGAACCTTAACGAAGACTCTGTCTGCTTACCAAAGTGTGCAAAGGGTAGACGCGTCTTTTGACGTTTATGAAGAGGATTTTGGTCTCAGTGTTGTGTCGACTAGAGAATTATCCCTTATGAAGGAAGCAATCAAACGGAAACTTGAGGCTAAGTGTGAGGCTGGAACCACCACTGATGAACTAGTGAAGGTACCGTTAAAGTCGAAGTTTTCCAAAGTTAACTAATATATTTTTTCCCTTGACTCCACTCCAGTTCTACCTTTTTTTATAGTACAACTTATCGGCATCCGACGATCGTAGTTATCGGGCCCATCCTCGAACTTCAGTCGATCAGGCTGGTGAAGAAATGGAGACCCGTTGTCCGTTTACTGCGAGTGCAGCGTGTGTCGACTCGACTACTTCGACAGACGACTATGAACTCGGAGTGACCTACTTGTCGTTAAATTTATTCAATGAACTTTACGAAAGGCAACATCAACTTCGAGTGAAATTGAGTTCCCAAATACCCAGACCAAAATCAGATGCAAGTGTTGCAACCGATCTCGCTGTCATAGTTCTTCCCACAAAGGACTTCGAAAAATTACAATGCCAAATTGAGCAGTTGACAGCGAGGCTTGTCAAGTACGAAAGTGTTGGGGATACTGAGGAAAAGCACATCCATGACGATGATGTGGTTATTGAAAATCGTGCTTTGGATCGATTAACTAAAGATATGAATGAGTTTGGCTACAAGATTCATAGGAATGGAAGCTCTGGTCCTAGGGATACCTCGACTAGTCCAGCTTGTTTGGCTTCTGCTGGGGGTTCTCCGCCAAAGCGCTCGTCCATGAAGGCCATTGCCAAGGATTATGTTCACAGTCGGGTGGATTTTTTTGAGAAGCTCAATCGGAATCAAATGGTTTACGGTGAATGTCATGCACGATCTCCGAAGGGGGAGTCACTCACATGCAGGCCTGCCACTGTAAGGGGATCGAACGGAAAACCCTTATCTGATGAGGTTGTCACTATTCCCTTAACGTTTTAGGTGCCTTTCGTTTCCTCACTAATTTTGTTTCATGACTAGGGTTTGAAACACAATACCGAGCTTCCGGCGTGCCGGATGGATTCACAGGGATGGAAAGTTCACTATCTTGAAGAGGTCTTGGACATGTTATGTCGAGGAATTTGTTTTATTACGTTTTTTTAATGAGTTTTCATTTTGTAGCTGAATGAGCGGCTGACCAGTGAACGCAATATGCTGGTCGGAGTTTTAAAAGGCATATTCCAAAAGAGCGAAAGCATTACAACGGAGAAGTTGCCTTCTCTTGACGAACTACTGGGGTCCGTTTCGCCAGTGCCGGAGGACTTCCGTCGAGAAATTGCGTCTATTTTAAACCAGTTTGATGCGAAGAACAATTTTAATACATAATGTACGTCATTTTCTCAACTAGTCTATAGCTATTTGTGGATTCACTGATCGTCATTGGCAGTTTAATTTAGATCACACCCTCTTTACTCTGAGGAGGTAACGCTTGTATCCATTTATTTAGAGGCAATCAAGGGTGGCAGCAGGTTGAGCAGATGCTATGACTGATATATCCCGAAAACGCTGACGACTGCGACAATAGTGTCATTGCGAAACTCGTAAGAAACGCAAGTGTCCGATGTGGATTCCCACAAACAGAGGCTGGTTGAGTAAAATTTGGGGTCTGCGGCGCCACTAAGGACTGCTTGAGTTATTATTCTGTAGCGCCTAAGTTGAAGTGATTTGACGCGAGCTTTCAGTGTCTGAAGAAGAGAGTGCTAAGGGGTTTGGGTTTTACGTACGTCGGTCATCAGTTTTGTTGTGTGTCGACAGAAATTCGGTTCGTATTCGCGTCCCACAAGAAGGCTGTCCACAACCTCCTTGATTATTTTTGCGACAACATCTCTAGGAAACCTCACATCAGGCTCAAGCTGATATGTGTTGTAAGTGGTCCTAGAGATAATGTTGCGGTTGGGAACGTCACAATGGGTAATGGCGGTGTACGACCTACATTTATTTACCGCAGAGGTACTTACGGAAAATCGCACTTAGCTGAGGGATTGTTCATGCTGCCAGTCTGCACAGTTAACTTTGAGGGACCGATAGCAGTCTTTGATCCCATTCTGTTTATAGGTGGCAATTATTTAAACACCGACAGAAAAGAAATTAAGAGAGTAGGCGATGTTGGAAGTTAGCGTTTAAACGAACTGGAGGACTACATTCTAACGCGAAAGAATAGCATCAAATACAACCTGAGTAAAATGCAAACTCGTCGTAAATAAAACTAAAGAACAAGAGTCATGTAAACGCGAGAGTTAAAAGGAAGGATAAACTCAATGAAAGAGGTGGACAAAACTTTTAGGCTTTCTCTTTTATGCAATTATTTTCCTAAAACGACTTAGAAGCAAAGATTGCTCAATTGCATTACAACTTTAGAGTTCAGTTTTATTTTGCTGAAATTATGTTGGTAAGTAAGTTTAAACGTTGGGGGGAGAGCAATTGCATAATTTAAAATACCTGCATTTTCTAAACAATATTTTCGAATGCAATTTTTATTTATATAAGTTGCTTTAAGCTTAGCAAAAATTGTAAATTCGTTTTTAGTTTTGCTTTTGGCTTTTTGATTTAGTAATAACTAATCCCTTTGCAAATGTTTAGCCATGCTATCATGCGCTTATATTTGGCGTCGTTTCGAAATTGTGCCTCTTTCGTAGTTGTCTTCTTTTCTCTGTCTGGCTCGCCAAATCGCATGTTTTAACGCTTTTTTTTTAATGGCCTTCAAAACATGAATACTAGTTCTCGTTTAGTTAAACTATCAATCCAGGAGTCTGATGTGCTCAAGCTTATTTTGGAGTTTCTGGATAAAAGAGATTTTGCGTTCTCCCAGATTGCTTTGGAAAGGGAATCCGGTGTCGTTAATGGAACATTTAACGAGGATATCTTGTTTTTCCGTCAACTTATACTTCAAGGCCATGTAATTTTTTCGCATTAATCTTTGATATTGGTTGGTTGTCATGCGCTTGTCATAATCTAAAATTTTGGGTGTCATTCCGCTAAAGGCTTTATTTTTGGGTTTTTGTAGTGGGACGATGCGTTAGAATACTTAAAACCACTAAAAGATCCTCCTCTTCAATTGGACTTGAGGCCTGCTCGATTCATAATCCTGAAGCAGAAATTTCTGGAATTGCTCTGCTTGCGTGATGGCGTTCTTGATGAGAATTGTGATACTATTGAAGATAATTGCAATAGACCTGGGTGTACTCCCGCGATCGATCAGGTATCTTAGCACCGGTCCTTTTTCTCTTATCTTTTATTACCGGTGGTAAGTGCTTTGATCTTTGTTCTTATTTCTAATCTAATTTTAGCTCCTATCAATATATTTCTTTGATATATATGGGAGTTTGGTGCACACCTAGGTTTCATTTTAGGTTTTGGCTTGTCTTAACGAGCTGGAACCCGAATGTCCATCACAGGCCGAATACAACTCTTTGGCACTCCTCCTGACATTACCACAGCTCGACCGTCACCCCGATTATCGCGATTGGAGTCCTAGTCTTGGTCGCCTTCGTTGCTTTAAGCAGGTTTGCCTTGTCTTCCATCAATAGATCCGGTTTTAATCAACTAGCACTGATTGCTGTGCTCAGATCCTAGTGGTTTGATCACTATGGCTTCTATGTATGCTCTGTGCTAACATCTTGACCCAAAATTTGGAGCCAATATTAACGAGTACAGTCGCCCACCACTTCGTGCTGCTTGATATTTTATGATATCACTATCTGCCTTCATCCACGTAGTACTTGTCTTCCATCCTTTTGAAAAGTTGAGGCTTACTCCTCCTTTCATTTGAAACAATTTGTGGGTTCGTTCTCTTTCACTTAAGTTGTAAATATCACAAGCATTTGGGATTAGTGAGTGATCTCCGGTCTTACTTGTAAAGGCAAATGCTCGGTGGTTTACTGAGCGAGATGTGTGAAATTCCACTTTGGTAGATAATTATCACGCCTCTGATGCTTTTGGTGTAGGTATTTAGTCAAATCTCATTTACATCTGCTTTTGAAGCATTTCTGTAGCTCAATTGACAGTTTGCAAAGTACGTTATTCGATCGACTTTGATTCCCTTGATTGTGCGTACTGTGTTTAAACTGGCCATTCCCGTATTCGATGTGCAGAATACTGTACTCCTAAGTATCTCTGCGTGTACTATTTCATCGTGTGAAAGACACCGTGCTCTACGCTGAAACGCTCGATACGTTTTAATGAATTTTTCATTCAACGAATTTAATGCTGACTGTGGGAACAAAACCTAACTGTGTTATTGTTTGTGGCAAATTTTAGTTACACCCACATGCCTGCACCATTTGTCTAATTTGAATCATACTGAGTGGATACGAAGCGTTGATCATTTTTTTAAATACCTTGAGGTAACTTATACCTCTGCGTAATTTGTTACCGTCTATTCAATCCTTCTTCGAATATCTGTTCTGCTTCAAACAAACTTTTGCAAAACTCATTGTCTTTACAAAAATAGTGCTTGATACTTTTTCTACTAGCTCTATCCCATACTCACTCCACTGGTGCAGCAATTGAATGGCCTCAGCTCCTGTGAGGTCTTGGGGCAATCAAGAGGAGATCGTCTACTGCACTTGCTCATTAAAGGGATACTCTACGAGGCCTGTGAGGACTTCTGCGCTGCCATGGCCACCGAAAGTAATGCTCAAATGCAGCTTCATGGTCTGATTGGTGGTAGGTTTTATGTCCGTGATTATTCTCCCACTTTCGCTCTATCCTTAGCATTATTGCAGCCTAGACGCGTATCCAGTTCACAATTTCCATGCATGATGCAGACACTTATTCATGGCTGCCACTAACTTCATTTTAGTTTGCTGTATTTTGACACTGGAAGTAAGTTCTGCGGATCGGTGTGATTTAGTACTCCAAAGGTTATTCTTAAAGAGTTGGCTTTCAGACCCATATGTATTTCTAAAAACTTAATTTTGAGTTTCATGAGGTCACTTCAGCGCGCATATCAAATGTTCATGTTTGAACTGTCAAACTTCTTTAGCAACACTTCTCTTGGCGACAGGAAAATGGAATTCTTTTATGCCTTGCTATGCAATAATTTGCACATTATGCAATCCGAATTTGTCTATCCTTTTGGTTTTCTATGCATTAAAGATTCTCTCTGGTGGAACAAACTAGCTTCCGTTCTATGGTAGATTTCTATTTGTGCAAGCTCAATGGCGTTGGCCACCCGTAAACGTAATTTTCTTGTCTTCCCATCACCATGGGTCTATCATGACGCTCTTATTCCCTCTCATTTGATGTAGCCACATTTTCTGGTTGTTCTGGGTCGCTTCGTGTGAGAGTTCTGATTTGATGGTGCTGCGTTTCCCTGTTGACGCTGTTTTGGTGCATTCACCTGCGTAATTGCGTAACAACACTAACTTTTTGGATATTGAATCCAATGCGTTTTTCTGCCTGGTATGTTGGAAAAATACCATTACTAGTCTTTGCTGATCTGAACATCGAGAATCGACTTAGTAAATGCATTGTTGGTATTAGTGTTTCACTCTGTAGTGCGGATACGCGCAATAGCCCCCTTTCTACCGCCGTAGACCTTATGCTTGCGTTTTTTCTTGGGCTCTGTTCGGTGCAGATATGGGCTGAAGCTATCATTTCCAGCTACTTGGCTATAACATACGTGGATGGTTTTTACAACCTTGCATTGTCTGATATTTATTTTTTGCCCCACTGGAAAGTTGGTCCACGAAAAGCTGGGGTAAAATGGTGAGTGGACGCGCTCCTCACCTCATAATTGTAATATTTGGAATTTAATGTCTTTCGGCCATTATAAAAATCTCATCAGTGTTGGTGTGATTTGGTTGTCATCTACTGATTTCAATAGCTGTTTTTAGTTTTTAATGTTTACGAAATACGACAGGCCAATTTTAATGCTTATACCATCCGGCTACTGGACACTTCATTTTAAGTAGTGTTGGGGTGCGTAGAATGTTGTTATCCAATATTTTAGATGAACCAAGCGATGACGATGTCAGTGTCCCCTCGATGGAACAGTTAGAAAGATTCAACCCAATTTACTCAATTGAACCCCCCGATCTGTCGCTGAACGCCTGGCTTCAGTCCCTTCCCGAGTCCGCATTCATCCAGCCTTTCGAGTCCTGTCAACTCTCTCTAGCTATACACCGGCTGCAGAAACCCTCCCAGGAAACGGGTGCGTGGGTTGACCAGATATTGCGCGAGCCCAGCGTGAAGCCTCTCGTCTTCCCTTATACCCATCTGCCCTCCACCGCCTCCTCCATCGCAAATAGCCTCTTTCGCTCTTCAATCCGACCGACGCTTGCACGAAGCTTTCTACAGGGTGGCCTGGGCAAACCTCGCACCCTTCTCGGAATGGCTGCCAGCTCCTTGGTCTCTGGTACTGGGGTAAGCTGAAAACTTGCTCTTTTCCTCGTATGGAATTTTACGCCAATTTTGGTTTTCTTTGGCCTACGTCTCCGAGACTATGTGACTTTAATTCGCTCGTTTTGCTTCTTTTGGATTTGATTGCAATATTGCACAGTGACTCGGAACCGTTTCAACGCCCAATACACCCAATCTTTGCGTGTTGCCAACCTTTTTTCCTTACAGTGACGCGAAATAGAACCAAAACTAAGTGAGCTCGACATTGTTTCGTTCTATCAGTCAATGGCTCCGGTAGCATCTTTCAGTATCAACGACACCTTACTTCATCGTTATGATCGGTTTCTCTATTGCTACGTCCGCTAAATTCTTGCATATGTCAGCATGAACATCTTTTTCTTTGCTATTCAAAAGCCATTCAAAAATAATGTGATTTCACTCGTAAAATTGCCAATATTTTGAACGTTTCTCTATTTTCCGCAACACCCTATTTCTCACTTTATCATTCTAGGCATTTGTAAAGAATAGACTGCTATCTCTGCCTCTTGCTTTTTAATTTTTGTACTCTATCACAACTTTGATTGGATTTGACAGTTGCAGTGTTTTGATGCCTTTTTTGGCGCTGGGAATGTCGTAAAGTAAATGCCAATATGAAGAATTCAAAATGACGCCCTACTCTTCTCATAATTCGTGCCCCTTGAAGCCGAAACACTTTTTTCCTCCGCACTTTTGGCTAAAAATGTGCGGTTGGGATGATTGAGGCCCAATATCAAACAGCCATCCCGTTTCCTATTCTTAGGGACAGTTAATGAGTCAGTCAATAGGCAGCTACCGTCTGTCCAGCACAGACGGCACAGCAAGGCCGCGCACTGCAACGGGTGCTTACCGCAGTTCAATGATGCAGCAGTCCATTGATCGCCTCTTTGCCACCCGTGGTTCTGTGGTTCCGAGCAGCTCCGTATCTGTCGGAGGTGTAGAGAGGACGGCTGATTGTATGCTTCGCTCTATTCCCGAGAGTGGCTGCACCCACACTGACACTGCCTTAGGCAGTGGAAGAGGCAGCAGCATGACCACATCAGCCATCACCGATCCCGACACTTCCGCCCCCAGTAAGTCAAATGATCCACCACGGTATCACTTCTACGTCAACTCACACCATGTCCTGAGAATTTATGCGATTTATACACAAGTTTGGTGCTTATCCCGGGATCGTCACGCTTTTGTACTAATTGAGATACCTTCTGTTGGGTAAATTGTGGTTTCATTTTTCGAATAGAGCAGTCTTTGTAGTGGTTCTCGATGTACATTGTGGTTCTATAATATTACTTCTATTTTATCTGGTTGCCAGTTGGGAATTCGAACTGCGGTCTTTTTCACGAATTTCAAAAACGCCAAGCTGAACTATCGACATCTTTAACTGCGAGACGATTGGTGAGTTGACCATTCTCTTGATTTTCTATAAACTTTATCTCCCATTATTCCAAGTTAGTTTTGAGCAACAAATTCAAAACCTATATGCTATCAAAATTTCGATCCATTTAACTTTATTGTTTCGTTGCGAATTTGTTTCTTAAACCAATCTCTTTTTTGCGCAAATGCTATCCGCCATTTCTTAACTACTTTGGCTGTAATGATTTATTCTAATCTGGTAGTTTCAGTAAATAATTCACTCGGTGTCCTTTCCTTATTATTTAAATAATTTCATCTAACAAAACAGTCTAAAGCGCATCATGACGATAGCGGTCCGTCGGCCATACCGAGTGTAGCGACAGAGACCTCGAATGTGGGAGTTAGTTATGAGGGTTACACTGAGAAAGAGAAAAATGATGAGCCACCTCCTCAGTACCTCCCCATCACAGTGCTGGAGGATACACAGCCCATTCGGTCGATCGCTTTCCATCCGTTGGGCACCTTCTACGCGGTCGGCTCTAATTCGAAAACTCTTCGTGTTTGTCGGTTTCCTGATATTGGCTCTCTTCGGTGGGTTTCCACCTCCTTTTTAGTAGGAAGACGCTAGCTGCTTTTGAAATGCTTTTGATGCACCAGCTTTGAGCATCCAAACTTCTTTATTAAGTTCTCAGGAAAACTTGTTACTTTAAGTTCACGTGCTTATTGTCACAATGAATGCCTCGATATGTATGAGGTTTTTATTTTCTCACTTTATTAGAACTATTCAATGTTCCTTCCGGATTGACACACGCATCAAGGTCATTTTCATTGTCTCCAGAATGCAATCTGAGTTTTTGCTTTCGTGCTTAGAACGTCTCCTCTTCAAACCCATTAACAGGCTTTATTTTTCAGCGGCAAATTTATGTCGCTTTTTAATCGAGAATTATTTTTTTTTAAATATTGCTGTCATTCGTATAATTAATTTTTATGTAGACACGATATCTCTTTTTAAGATTAACTTTCAAGCTTCATGTGGGCGTGATATCCATATCTCTACGTTTTCTCTTTAAGTGTAATTCTGCTTTCCAAATCCATTGCGAGTTGTTGGGGGTTTTTGGAAATTGCCTTAGAGCACAGTGCGTCAATGGTGCTTATTCGGAGGCAGTGGGTTGAGGCGGAAGGGAAACTGTAGTCCAAATACATAATGCTCATTGACTATATTTATTAACGTAGGTCGAACCACGAAGCGACGAACCCAGTGATCGTAATGCAGCGCCACAAATACCATCGTGGTAGTATCTACTGCTCCTCGTGGAGCAGAGACGGTCGTATCATTGCTACGGGTAGCAACGATACGGCTGTTCATCTCCTTCGCGTTAATCCTGACACTGGGACTCTCGTGGATAATAACTCCGAAAGCTTCATTCAACTCACACATCATGATGGAACTGTCCGTGATGTAGTATTTATGGTAGGTCATTTTTTATCTTCAGATTTCTTCCCCTCCCACTTCCATGTGGTTTTTTTGTCTTTTTACTCCTGAGCTACCTTAGAAGGATGGGAATCGAATGTAGATATCTGTTTCCTTTGATATCTCCTCATATAGAATGGTTATACTACTGTAGTATTGCCAAAAGACAAGACTTCAATAAAAGGAAAGTTGTTGCGACGAGATGTAGGTCGAATGCTGCAACCAATGTTCGACCAATTGTACTGCAATTGTAATGCTAGTAAGGAAAGTGGTTAACACTTTATGGTCGCATACCTGTGTTCACAAGAAGGAGCTGATTAAAGCATCGATGATCCTCCCATCATACCCTTTTTTGTTTTCTCGTGAAGCTCGCCTATGTCAAGGGAGTTAAAGTCGCCAAGAAAGCCAGTGTCCTACTGCCTAAAGGGACATGCATGGACATGTCTAAACATGGTCAACGATGTGTCTGTTTCATGGCTAATCATTGAGATGGTTACTAATTAGGAACCACTCACCATCGAGCGGCAAAACTCCTCTCTTCTGTAGATGACTTCCTACTCAGAGAGTGGTGGGAGTCCATCGGGTGATGGACATTCACTTCTGTTGTCTTCTTCACCGGGCCACCTGCTGACGGCTGGAGCAGGTGATTGCCGGGTATACGTGATTGACGTGGAGCGAGCAGGCATGCTGGCATCAGGGACAGCTCTGAGTAGCAGTAGTTGCTTGCGTCTTAAGTCCTCGTCGGCGGCCACGGTGCGCGCTCTCTCTGGCCATTCGGCTACCGTCTTTGCCCTTGCTGTCTGGGCTCCTGGTTCACTCTTTGTTTCGGCTTCCGCTGATTCCACTGCTCGGCTTTGGGACATTCGAGCTTCCGCTCCTGTTCTCATCATCCCCTCTTACTCCGGTGCTCAAGGTAATACTCTTCTTTTTATGCCTTGAATCTTTCATTTTTGCCGAACTCTTATTTCTTTCATTCCCCTTATTGTTCATTAGTCCCACTGAACGCGTTGCGCCAGTTACTCTGACAATTTGAGGCGTTTAGAGCAGGAAATTAAGGAAGGATTGGTGACAAGGCTCCATCCATACTGCTAGAATCGGGACGCTAAAGGGCTCATGCAGTAACTGTTCCAATTGAGAGGTGTAGTTCTAGTACGGAGGGTTTCCGCTCTTCTTTGCAAACCTTTCATACGCTTGCTTTTAGAAGCCGTACTACATTCTAGTAGGCCAAGATTTTTTGAATTTTTGAATTTCCTCTCCTCTTAACTTTAATTGCATCAGTTTCAGATTCAATGCAAATGTTGCTTATTGGTCTATCACATTGTGAATCTTTTGCTTGCCAGCGCTTTTTGTATTTAGTACATGAACACCTCTTTCTTGTGCCTGTCCTGATATCATTGAGCTTGAAAGTTGCACGTTTCAGGTCGCGCCAAAGTTTTGTGATGTATTTAGCATAAGGAACTCAGTTGATATTTCATTACCAGTCATCGCTGAACATGTACACGAATTTCATTGTGGAGATAGAACCAAAGTCTTGTCCTACTACGCCAAAAGAGGACTGCCTCAAATTTAACGGCACACTATTTGTAGGAAGTCCCTTTGCGTCAGTGAGCATGGAGGCAGGTGGGAATGTATTGGCAAGCGGACACGAGGACGCAACCATCTCCCTCTTTGACGTTCGCGGGGCACGCTACATCAGCGCCTACCGGCCGCATTCCAACGAAATTCGTTCTGTACGATTTGCTCCTAATGACTATTATCTGCTTTCCTCCAGCTACGACAAACGTGTTGTGGTCACTGACCTTCATGGTGAGGCTCATTTTCTGTGCTTAAGCCAGTAGCTTCCCCAGTTCGGTCTCTACTTTCTTTTACCGGTTTTTGACCTAATCAGTAGGCCAGACGTCCTTCCTAACTTCAGGTCTAAACTCCCTGTTAATCACCATGGGCTTTGCAAGTGAGACGTTTCTCGCCATCTGAATCTACGCAAGGCAAAGTGGTTTGCACAATAGGAATCTTATACGCCTTCTTCACCTTGTTAGTCTCACCAATCTGCCTGTAGGTTCGGTTGACAGTAGGCGCTTGAGGAAGTTGACAGCTAACATCATTTACGCATAAATCGTACTCTCAGATAAACTAATACCTCGTTACTAGGACAGCAGAATTGTCATTCGTACTCATTGTGCGTTCTAGGATTTTCTGAACATGTAAGGTAAAACATCTGTTACATTGTAGCACGTTTGGTTGTTTATTTGGAATCAGCAGGGGATTGCGAACAGTATTGAAGTCTAGAACTACTTGAATTTTGAGTCTGCTAATTTGAGGCTACATTGTCATGCCTTATTGTAGGTGATCTCTCCCAACCTCTGGCATGCGTTCAGGTAGCTCAGCACAAAGACAAAGTGATTCAGGCGCGTTGGCACCCCGGCCAGCTGTCATTTGTCACAACTAGCGCTGATAAAAGTTGCATATGTTGGGCACTCCCATCTGCCTAGTCCACGCAAGCAACTTAACTCTCCACTGCATTTAAATGGACAATCTCACCACCTTGATGAAGTATCGCCCCTTCTTCCAGAGGATTGAAAGCATCTTCGCATTCTGGTTTCTCGGTTTATCTTAACTTCTACCTGTTCAAGTGTTCATCAATTACTTTTTATTGACAGATTTTCTCTAGTAATACCATGCTTTTAAATCGCGCTATTACGCCCAGTCCCTTTTAACTGTAAAACAAAGATTTTCAATAACCCTTTGGGGTCTCGAATCTATTACATATTGACAAATCAAAACCAAAAAGTTACCTGTATACTGTACAACACGCTACAACTGTAAATGCCGAGGACAGATCGTCAGTCGTAAAACCAAGATCGATTTGCGTATTCTGCTTCCGATTGCTCCAGATCTGGAGGCTGAGGGATATCTAAAGGCGAAAAGTCCCGGGTGCGCCTGGATGAAGAAAATATGACAGGACGCTTCCTGGGTGGAGTATCTTCCGTGTCATCATTAGGAAAGGCGTCTGAAACACTAAACGGTACCTCCATACCCTCGGACGGATCTTGCTCAAACTCTCGCCTCCATTTATTCTCTAGTGCGTTCAAGTCCTGTACACAAGAGAAAAGTCTAGCTGTTCCACCTGAAGAGGCAAGAGACTTGAGATTTTCGAGTGAAAAGTCCAATTGTGGGAACAAGATAGCCGCCGGAATCCTATTTGCACGCCGTGGAGACGCATCACAACTGTCGGCTAGGGACGGATAGAGATCGAGGCCGGATGCATCGACCCAATGGTTGTCCTTATCATCAAGCCTGGAGGAGTGGCCGAAATTGCCGTTTTCAGAGGCTTCAGTAATGTCGTATCCACCCTCGTGTCCAGTTGGCGAAACCCTCTTAGCAGATGATTTGCAGTCCAGCTGCGCATTATTCCTCCTGCGGCTTTTGCCAACCGGAATTTTTAGTTCGCCAGCGCCATTTTTGGGACTAACTTCGTGGTTATGCTTGATTTGATAGCTGCCGACTTGCAACCGATCCCCCTTGCAACAGAAGTAGATCTTTGATCGACATCCTATTTTTACGGTCCTAAGGAATCAGCACCAACTACTAATCGTAAGAAGTACCTTTGTTTACGTCGGATAGTAGCATAACTCGTGTACGTGCCAAAATGATAACACTCAAACGCCACTGATCTATAAACTAGTTTATCTGCATTTGGGTAGTCTTTGGAGAATCGAACAGTATTTCTCATAACGTAGTTACTGCCAGTTGCCTTGAATCAGAATCCGATCAGCCTGATAATAAGTCAACTACCTTCATAAAAGAGTTCATGTGACTCAAAAGATCCTGAAATGAGTCGAAGAAGCGATTTTCAAATGTTTGCAAGAATTCCTTCGTCAGGTCAGCCACGACAGGCTCGTCTAAAATGATAATTGGTAAAGCTTATTGTACCATCGGCTCCCGTAGTAACGGCGTTAAATGTTTCACAGCATAAAGCACCGTCTGTCGCAATGGACGATTTAAAGTTCTCCGTGACAGCCTCTGGGGGATGATTATGTAGCATATCAAACTTTAGAACTCTCAGAGACCCTCCTGTACTAGAGGCTGTGAATTTTGCAGTACAACCGGTGGGGGACTGTCTGGAATGAAATTTCTGTGAGCAACATGTTTTATAATACTTTCTGGGTCCACGCCTAATACCAGCTCCATACTTCGCACACGCAAATTGGGCGTGTTTGAAGTCGAAGAGGGTTTTCTCAACTGTGCCCTCACGATGGGGTTGACGAGAAGTCTTTAGGTATTGAGTGCCTGTTTCCTAAGCAGGTAAGGCAAAAAAGACTTACCAATTCAAAAGAGCGGAGTGCTTCATTGAACTGACTTTGATTCCGAAAACACGCTCCCCCAAACACAGATGCGAATAGGATAGAGCAATCCATCCGATACACGGCTAGAAATGCGCGAGATTCACAAATGATAAACCAATAGCGATTCAACTATTTGAAGACAGTTTTAACCGCGCTTACTAAAAATTTTAGCAATAAAAGTTAGTTTATACTTTTTATGTGCACTTGATTTATCAAAAATTTTATCATAAGACGAAAGAACCATAATTTTATAGTCCATTGTATGAGTTTTGATTTTGCAATACAAGGAATAACGCAGAATAGTTCGAATTACCAAATGTTTCTGAATTTCAGTAGTAAGAATGTTATCGTAATGATTCGATGAAGGACACAAAAACATTGTTGAATATGAGTGGGTAAATTTAGCACTGTGTAGATATTGAGCCTTGCTTGGCCTGCAAGACATACAGCTCGTGGAGCCCCAAGACTTCCAACTAGTCAGAAGAATGCATTATGTTTAAGAGAATACACGCATTCTAAGAGGCAAAGGAAGTATAGGACCTTGACTTGACCCAAGGACCGAATTATGCGTATTAAACAAAGACTAAGCAACCGCCAAACATCAGGTGGTCACATAAACAAAGGACAACAGGCTCAACCTGTAGTGCCTATTTTCCACTCTTTTCGTTTTTGGCCTCAGTCTTTTGAGAAAGGAGGCATTCGGTAGAAAAGTGGTCGGCATTAGAATGTCATTACAATCTGCAAGGGTAGTGGTACCGGTACGATATGCAATGTAACTTTAGGACTTATTCTTGAGATCCACCCCCACGGCTTTCAAGTTGAATTTGCTCCACTTTCCTGGAAAGCACAACCTGAACAACCTAAAATGGCCGTAATTTAAATGGATATTATTGCTTCTCGAAACTTCTCATTTAATAGTATAAGATACAAGACTTAGCTGACCACCTGTGACCAGAAAAAAGGGTAAAGATGGACTTTAGCGCGGCCCAAACGTCAGCTCCACGCTGCATAAACGAGATTGCCGCCTAACTCAATGTAAGTAATGCATACAATCTTCAAACAAAGTTTACAGGCGTTGAAGTTAGATTCAAGAACACATTCGTTTGCGTCTCTCCTTTTAACTTAAATCGACTTCCAATTTAGAGGAAGATATGAAGTTCTGGTTGGACTTGAGGCTAGAGCACCTAACCATGAGCAGGATGAAAAATAAACTGACCACCACGCAATCAGGTATTCAAATAAATAATGTATTGAAGTCCTATTAGATGATCACTTTAATTAAAACGCATGTTTCGTATCTGCGTCTTCCCTTTGCGGAGCAATTTCGAACTGAATCATAGTCCTTTTTTAATGCATTAAACTTCGACTAAGGTGTGAACATTACGAAATATTTTCCAGAAACGTTCACTGCCTGTTGCATAACAGAGAGTGGAATTGAAGTGCCTCTATCTACAACTTCGTTTAAGTACCCCCCCCCCAACGCGCCCCTCAGCGGATCCTCCGCCTCAACCATCATATCCTAAAGTTCCTTCCAATTTTCATGCGCAAAAGCCCCACAAACCACAGGGCAGTGATAAATGGAGATCGTTTTACAAATTGGGAATGACGGGTGACACCTTGCTCATGTTCGCACGGGCTATCCTTCGGACTAAGCCAAAGCTGCCTTGAATATACGTATTTAGTCCCACTTAATGCCTTTTTCCACCAAGTAGAAAGACCTTAACAACTCTGCACTGCACTTAGCGGAACCCGGTGAAAAATCACAACGACAATGTAAAAACATGACGCAATGAGAAAGCATTCCTACTCTTGGACTTATCAGGAAATTAAGTAGAACTTCTACTCATGTACTCTTGAAGCAGAATAGAGCTTAAGGCGTGGGATGCACTTCATCGTGTATTTGTCCGATGCATAATTCAAGATCGAAAAATTATTCGTTCACCATAGCACTGAGCTTTTAAATTGAATTAAGCCCTGTATTTTATGGCAATCATATCTTTAATCACCTCAAACGCTACCAGACTGTAAGTAGAGCCGAGATTCAGTATTTAGGTCGAAATGGCTGCCACAGCTTTGTTTTATGCAACTAGAAATGTTTGAAGTGACCATACCTGATGGCGTACGCACGTAACGCCAAGTTCTACCAGAAGTTTGGATTGATGGAAGACCATTTCAGCTATTCGTAACGCTATAATGTGTGCTATTCATGGGCGACAGACGTAAAATCAGCTGAAATAGATTTGTCTTGTTGTCACAGTTTGTGTCAAAGGTCAGACCATCAGTTCTTGAGCCGTTCTACAACAACGACAAAGCCACCCACCGCCTTAGAAAGAGCAATGACAAATTCACAGAAATGATAGTTGAAACAAACACAATTAATTCTTGATAGGATCATACCGTCGGAAATGCGCAACAAATTAAGTAGGCAAGGACTCTCTCAAGGAATGACACCCAAGATCCGATAGGCGGCTTCGCAGCACTCTACAAGATGCTAGATTGAATGGGCGTATGCCTCCTTAAGTTCAGTTTGCTTCAATATTAATGATTGCTGAAAATGAGGGCGACTTGGGTAATAGAAGGCCAGTTTGTCCAATTTTGAATTAGATACAGCGTTCTACTCTTTAAAACTAAGGCTTGCTGAACCATTAGACGATCATGCTTCAAGGCCCAAGTGATCCGCCTCGTGCATAACTACAAGGCTGGTGCACTTCCGAATTTCCAAGTTCCCAAAGCTATTCACACATATTGTTCTCGCTTTTTTGCCAAAACCTTTGCTTGTTCTTACTAGAAACCGGCAAAGAAAGTCGAACCTCCGAATAGCATTTGAATCACTTATACTCAAGAGTCCCGCCAGAAAATTCGACGCAAATACCCCCAAAAAGCATTCCGTTGCGCGAATATGGTAAAATGTTGGGAGATCAGGCGAATAGGCCTGTTACTGAGTCTCCAAATGGCAGCAGACTGATTCTCCAATTGACTAGAAGGAACAAAACATTCCCTAACAGGAGAGATAATGAATATGATGCCAGCACACATGCCCCAACACTCCTTTCGTTGACATTTCCTCTACGCAGAGGGAAAATTCCCAGTACAGTAAAAATGAAATATAGACTCGGCATTGGTGTATGTATTACAGGGCATTCTACTCCCGCTATCAGGCTTAGAGCTACAACATTGGCAGGGAAACCAAAACATGAATCGCAACTGGTGCTAGTCACTGCATGACAAAACTCATTTCACTGTGTCAATGGAGAATATTGGCTAACATATCACTTGTTGGATTGTGGAGACTTGTCTTCCGTACAGTCAAACACAAATAAATGGTTACATGTTTTACACGCCTTCCCAAAGGATAATGAATCATAAAATTCAAGCCTGAAACAACCAACAAAAACACCTATTGACCATCTGAACAATTGACATCATCCTCTTCTAGCAGGCTAGGGACAGGATCAAATTAAGCCATTTAAGGTTAAATCATCCATCGGCTACCCGTTTTGAAAGGCAAATCAGTGCAGTAAATAGAACTTGGGCGTTCCGTTTTTACTTTTAGCTTTATTCTGAGAAGAGAACCGTAGCTAAATTATCAACTTGAACCAATTCCATCTGATAATATGCCAAGTTTCGTAAGAATCTGTGAACCTAATTCATTTGTTGACAGCGCACGATACATGCCAAGTTAAAACCTCCTCTGTTTGCAAAAAGATTAGGAATTTCACTTTAAAATTGATTTTCACACGTTTAAACTCCATTACTGAACATAACTGGACACATTTCCCGTAACCGAACAGTAAATGAAATCCAATGCCCTCTATTTCAAACAGGACGACCTAAACAATAATGTCAGAACGGTATTTTTAACCTAAGCCTACGACTGCAAACATCTAGGGTAAAACCTGAATGCTGAAGACTGATACATCTGTAGCAGGTATCAAGTGTGTGCCTTGAAATCAGCCAAGACGGTTCACAAGTGGTCCCATTCTTAACCCTTTAGCCCTACGAAATCATAGGTAAGTCGTCATATGAAACATGGTGGACCCGTACAACTCAAAAAAGTGAGGACCTCTTGTCGAGATATACGACAACAATCATCGGATAACAGCAATTCTATGGCCATGGTAATTGACGCATCACAGTATCTGCGTCTCAGCAGGTGAATGCTTAGTTTATGACTATGCCATTATTCACATGGAGTGCATTTCACAAGATTTCATACCCACAAATGAGACAAGGGAGCAAATGGACAAGTACGTGACTAATCACCCCAACTCATAGTGCTCCCGTGTCTGTACCTCTTCTGAGCAAACAACATTCTAAAGATAGCTGTGCTATGAAGTACCAACCTTTCCGCGGATAACTAACCCACAACAGTACGTATATACTCTGATGCAAACTAAATGAAAATCAATAATAGCTCAAATAAACACGACTGAAATCCTCAACAAAAATATCTCATTATAAAAGCCAATAAGTGCCAAAAAACGATCTCACTTATTCTAGCTGGTGACAAATATTAACAAATTCAATGATAAATAATACACCAAAAAGAAAATTGGTCGCTGAATAAGAAACCCAAGCAGGCTAAACACATGCTAGAGCTTGAACAAAGCCAATTCAGAGAGAAGCATAAACTCATGCAGCTTTTTTGGAAAGACGAGACCAAATGGTCATTAGTTTCCAACTAAAGTACAGTGTAAAACAGTGAATTTGAATACATACAGAAAAGAAGACATAAAGAATGACCACAAACGGAAAGTTAAAGAAATCATGCCTCGAATTTTTGGTGTAATAGTAGTCCATGAGTTCGGAGGCCCTCAAGAAGCACCCCATGATTATGGGAACAAAACCAAAGACAATTGTTCCTATTAAAGAAAGGCGAATGAGGTATACCTTGTTCTTTGTAAACGACAAGTATCCGAAGAACACTGGAATAATGCTTCCAAAACACCAGGCGTACTCCCACAATTCGTTTAGAGGAACAGAGTGCTTAGTCAGTAGTATACGGTAAGGTGATCATACCTTTCTCATAAATGCGCGTGAAACTAAACGAAATCGAAATAAAATTTCGGGGAGAATCTTCAAAACGACCAGGACCCACAAAGCGATATGGAGCGTCAAGGCCGTACGCAATCGCTTCTTAAAAAGTGAACTAAACACAAGGAATCCGGCCAATAAATGCAAACAACCTCTGATTGTATGGCTCAACAATGCGCTCTCGATGCTGAAAATCGGAACCATCAGAACCAACTGGACGAGCACCATAACGTGAAGCCATTATTCGCCACTGCCTCAGGTGGGTGTCGAGCGATATTGCAAAGCCCACCCACTCGAAGCCACATAAAACAAGAATGGGTGTACCGCTTTACTTCAAATGTTTAAAATAATAAAATACATGCAAATGCAAATCATTCCAACAATTCATTTATTTAAATTGAGCGAGTCTGAACTAAAGTTGTGCAAAATGGATATCTGTATTAAACGAGACGAATTTTATAGTAAATTAAGCCTAACTTGCCACAAAGATGTCCTGCTACTTTCACAAGAAGGAACTGGAGGAAGCTGGTGCACTAAATAGACTCATCGTATTTATACGGAGTAGAAAGGAGAGCATTCTATCAATATATCACATAGGGTACACAAATGTTGACAGTTGCTTCAGAGTTTTTTGGTTTATGAAGTTTAAACATGCGTAAGTAGCGCCTTTATTCCTCTAGGTTGGCTTAAAATTCACACAAAAAAGTTCGGGACAGGCTGCTAACATGTCTCCTAAGGCAGCGCATGATTGAGTACTCGTATCACTGTCTCAACCACCCCTCCATTTGAAATCTCTCCAACACTTCCCGACTAACCACCTCACACCAATTACAATGTCACTATCATTTTGGCAACCAAACTTCGAAACACCGATTTTATTCTTTTTTGCTTACGTTTTGGATTCGAGGTGCTTTAGTACGAGATCGGTGAGGTCTTTCAGCCGTTCTGTTGTTCCTATTGTCTCCTTACAGACGAGAGAAGAAAATACCAAATTCTTCCTATTCGTGACAGGACCGTTCTTCAGAGCCACGACACCTAACGCGCCAATAATTAATAGTAAGGAAGATTGTATAAAATCCGTTGTAGCATTTTACGCCCTACTATCATATCTGTGTACTTCAGCCTTCATAAGAGGACGTTCGCTCTGAAGAGTTTTTTTGGCATTTAAAACAACATGCAGAAAGTATTGGTGGTATTTCTGCGTGAAGTTTCTAAGTGTTGGTCCTGGGAAGACTAAACACACTTCTCAATTTCACATAGCCATCCATGAAGGCTTACGTCTGGGAGTGGAGACGTAAAGAAGGTAGTGGCCGCTCGCTGTCTGGCATTCTCACCTAGGCATTATAGAATGGGATTTGTCAGGGATTGATATCTGGTGGTATTTCGTTTATGAATAGTCTTCATAGGGAACATGGGATTATCGTGATTTCCAAAGAAAGGAACTATTTGACTCTCTTCCATCAGCAGCCTTAACAGATTTTATTTACCCATTTTCTAAGATCCCACTATATTTAAACTCGGGATCGGAATCGTTCACCTCGGCTATTAACGTATCACCATTAATCTGTTCTTAAGCTATAGAGAGCCGAAGCATTGACTCGAGAACATCTTCATACATTTTATGACCACATTTACGTTATTTTCTATTTCGCTGCCATTTTAACTTGCACTAGGAGTGGATAGCTAACACTGGGGTAGCTGTAGCAGTAAAAACAATTGGCACGGGTAGACTAGGCGTCATATGCCACTGTAATGCCAGTCTTTTTACAAAAGTCTGGAGTTAATGAGGACTTCCAATGTCCCAAAGAATTTCATCGGCTGTTGGCGTTTCTCACCCACTTTGATATTCACAAGCAGAAATTCCTTCCGGTGTAGTTAAATACGGCCACTTTGATTCCAGTTAGGTTTAGAAATTTTAATGCTCAAATGGTTATAAGCTTAGACTGGCGGTGGTGCGGTTTAACTGTGACAATTTATCTACACAAGGAATTTTTGATTGCATTATCAAGTCTAAATCTCACTCCGAAACGGTTAAGTTGCTCTCAAGATAGTGTAGTGCCTGGCTAGCGTACTCGTTATTCATGCCTGAAGTTTAAAGGCACAAAATCCTTTTCTATTTTATGGTTTCCAGATTCGACAAGACTCCGTCTTTAAGCATGACCACTTCTAATTGGCAAAACGCTTATCGCTTCGTAAAGTAGGTTTCAGGCTCTATCTTAGCGAGACCTTTCAAGAGAAAGAGGTAACTGATTTAATGCATGCATTGTTAATGTCGCCACGGATACTAAACAACACGTAGTAAAGAGAAAAAGTTGAGCCAGGTAACGTCCGATAACCCTTCTCATTGGCATAGAACGCAGACTTGTCAAATATCCTCGACGGCTGTAGTATTATGTTGTTATCTGTATTTACCAGGGATATCTCCCAAACTGCACAGAAACTGTAATGTCTTTGTCGTTCAAGTTGCTTGAAAGTAGTGCAAACAATAAAAAGGCGAAACCATTTCATTCCAGCAGCTAAGCGATGAAGCCTGACAATTCCACCTTGGGCATAGCTGCAGAGCAAGTTTACCGTTTCCTTCATAAATAGCAATTCGAATGTGGTACAAGTTCCTCTTCTACTATCCCTCTAACGAAATATGTACTTCATATCCTTATGTACATCACATCACATCACAAGTCCTTAGTTTTATGTCAATCACTCATTTATTGGGTTCATTATATCTATCACAAAGGCTATCAAGTGCTCGCTAGTGCTAAAACTGTGTCGAATTCAGCAACGGCGAAACCTAGCTCCAAATAAAATAAACGTGCACATAAAATGAGCTGGTCACAACGTGGCAACGGGAAGTTTGAACGTCATGGCAGCGTAGAGTTACAACCTGCCGGTGGGAGAACTCAACGCCCACCAATGGTGCCGGAAGAGGAGGCAAGGACTGAAAGGTCAACGTGTTTTGGTCATCAAGAGCTTTTCCAAATGGTTTCTCGGAGGAATCTTTCTCCCAAATGTCCCGACAAAATCAAGCACAGGCCGAAATTAACGAAAAAAATTTCGAATAAGGCAAATTCAAAGGCTAGTCTGTAGCTGTCTTATAAATTGGTTGAAAGAGTGTACAAACGTAAAAGCCAACAGACTGAAGGCTGAATGATGTAATAAGGGTTTTTTTTTTACGTAATGCCTAAAAAAAATGCACTGTTTGATTAGCAATTGATATTGTCTTCGGAAATCTCAAAAATAATGTTTTTTCAAACGCTTGGTGAACGTGCAGAAACTTCAGGCCGATATTGCATTACCACTGCAGCAATCACAAGTGGCGGATCAAAATTCTGCAGGCACCGATTTATCGGGATGCGTCAAGAATCTGCTGCTTCTGATACAAAATAAGTATAAGGCAGCCGTCAAATGACGAACCGAGGTCGTTTGCATGAGGCGTCCTAAAAACCGAAGAGATCAAAATGCTGTACCCACGGAGAACCTCATTGAGACTAGCGGTACGAGTGGATTCCTGTATTTTCTCCAAGAAATCGTTGAATGCTACCGGGTATTTGGAAATACTTTTACATCACAATTTCTCGGCACCAGTTGCCATGCCTAATAATGCAGCGCCCGAAGCCTTTGCAATCAGTAGGAGGAATTTTTATTTTTGACTTACAAGAGGAGTGGTGTGTTGTAGGCTTAGATGGAGTTTACGACCGTTGAGTGAAAGTACAGCCTGCAAAGACTGAAACGTCTGCATAGTTAAATGCACAGTATCAAAGTAATGCAATTAGAACTAATGAAGCAATAAAAGGAGTGACGGCAAATGGATTATCACCTCCCTACTTCGTTCCCTACCTACAAGAGCTCAACTTGGGACAATTCAGCTTCTGGTGGATAACTTTTATTTCCCATGGATCCGAGTGTAGACAAAGTCGTAAACTCATTTTATAACCCCACATTTCTGACTTGATCAACAGATGAGGAGATGACTTTATTATGCAGGTAATCAGTTTTATTGTCTCAGTTCTGATGAAGCCCACTCGAACATAAGCATGGAAGGAGACCATTTTGATAAATATGCTATGACATATGGACATTTGTGCCATTCTTTCAAGTAAGAAGCAGAGTTCAACGAATTTAATATTGTATTATCAACTATTTTAATAACTAGAAACTTTGCCATAGTATTTATGGCTTGTTTGCCTTCGCATTTTTGTTACAATACGATTCTTCATGGAGTCCGTTCTTTACGAATTAACTGGATGACGCTTCATTTTAGTGGGAAAGAGCTCCTGCAGAATGAAGCAACCGATAAACTCCAAAATTTGAAGCATTTATGCAGGAGAAATTTGTAAGCTAAATTACCAAGTTGCCACTTATAATTCACTCGTCAGCGGCATGACTCAGTTAGTTCATGCATTCAAGACAGCAATACCAGTAAGTTGCGGAAAAGTGGAACACAAAAGTTAACTTTGGTGTGAATATAGACGAAACCAAGATATTGGCAGCTACGTGGTCAATGAAGACATTTTGTGACCATGCCTTTGACCACAGCGTTGAGTTGTAATTTTCTCAAAAGTCAGTTTCGTCCCGTGGACAACTACTTCTTCCACAAAGTCCCATCGCCATCAGCGACTACCGGAAGTAAGATAAAAATTAGCCGAAAGCAGCCAAT